CACCCTGTCACAGAGCAGGGCTGATCAGGGGGTTGGGGTGCCTTCCCCTGTCACGATCAGAGTAGGGCGGATAGGGAGGTTGTGGCCCCGCCCCCTGTCACACACAGAGCTGCAGGGCGATCAGGGGGTTTGGGCGCTGCCCCCTGTCACGCTGATCCCGGTGCCGGGAGCCTCGCTGCTCCGCTGATCCCGGTGCTGGGAGGCATATTACCCTTTTACTATATAGGATAGAGGCCTGGGGGCTGGCTGGTTTGCCCTGAAGGGTGTCCTGGATCAGGGTGGGAGTCCCCACTGGGGTGCCTGGCCAGCCTGGATGAGGGGATGATGGCTGTTTGCAGCTGGTCACACACCCTTCAGGGTGGGGGTCCCCACTGGGGTGCCTGGCCAGTCTGGGTGAGGGGCTGAGGGCTGCTTTCAGGCTGGCGGTTGTTGACTGAAGCTCCCAACCGCTCCTTTTTTTTCTCTTTTTTTTATTTTATTCTGGGCCAGCTTTAGCTCTGGCTCTAGCTCTGAGGCTTCGTATCTGGTTTGTTTGCCGTTCTATAATCGAAACAATGTATAACTTCAGCTCTGAGATCCCGGCAGGCTGAAAGCTGGTTTCTAGGGTTTTGTTTAGCTTCTTATTTGCAACATAGTACATAGTTGCTTAGAGTTGCAACTCAGTGGCCGGCAAGTGAGGCGGGGAATGTTGGAGTCTGCAGTCACTGAAGCAAGGAAGCCTCATGTTCGCTTCCAGCTGCCTGGCTGCTGGCCGCCATCTTGGCTGACAGTTAATTTGCATAAGGATATGCTGATTAGCCAATGGGAAGGGTAGCGGTCGTACGCCAATTACCATGTTTCTCTTTTATTAGTGTAGATGTTTCATAGTTTCTAGACAGATTCGAAGACTCCATTCAAAGTTTTTTTTGAGGATTAAAGAGATTGTGTATGTAAAATCCCTACCACAATGCCTGACATGTAGTAAGAACTTGGAAAACAGCTGATGGTCTACCCCAGCCATGGGCAAACTACGGCCCGCAGGCCGGATCCGGCCCGTTTGAAATGAATAAAACTAAAAAAAAAAAAAAAGACCGTACCCTTTTATGTAATGATGTTTACTTTGAATTTATATTAGTTCACACAAACACTCCATCCATGCTTTTGTTCCGGCCCTCCGGTCCAGTTTAAGAACCCATTGTGGCCCTCGAGTCAAAAAGTTTGCCTACCCCTGGTCTACCCTTTTCCTCTAGTGACATGACAAATTTAGGTCCAGAGGTCAGGTTTCCCGTTTTCTGGCCTATCACACTTCCCACCTTTCTCAGTGCTCCTCCCACACTGTTCTCAGACTCTGATTGGATCATCTTTAGGACAGCAGGCAGGGCACCCTCAGCAGACCAGTGACACTCCTCTGCTGCCATCTTACAGGGGGTGAGGGGAGAGGGCATTGCACCCTCCATCATTAAAGTGATTGATGCTAAATAGCTGGAAGTAGAGCCTGGGAACCATGCAAGGTTTGGACAAGATATCCTACCGTGATCACTACAAAATCCCTGGACCAATTCCCTGCTGACAACTCTATTTCTGAAAAAATAACAAATAAAGTGAGGCTTCTAAGACTCAATGACTAAAGTGGGAACCCACACAGATCCACGATATGTCTGCTCAGAGGGACAGTGATTACCCTTCAAACTTATCTTCCAAATAATAAATGCATTATGGAGTTGCCGTTAGATGCTGTGCCAATGATAAACAACACTGTGTCCCTGTGGTCCAGGGGATCTGAATCAAATACATCATTCTGAGATGTGGCCCAGGCTTTTTGTCTGGATATTTTAAAAAGAGTGAAATAATTTAAGTAGCATCTCATTTTCTACTGTCCTCCTTCTAAGGGCCATGCTAATTTCATTCTTTTCTTCTCTGATCTTTATCTTGATGCCATCTTGCTGAGGGTGTGACTGGCCCATCCATAAGCCATCCAGGTAGATGACATGAGCTTCATTGCATTTAAGGGCCACCTGGCTCCTCCTCTCACTCACTGAGTGGCCTGGGGCAGGCCCTTGAACTCCGTGGGGTTTAGTTTCCTCTACAGAAAAATGGAAAAATATACCTACTTCACAGACCTTTCTTTGACAAATATGAATTACCTATACAGAATAGACAGAGGTAGTTTCTTTCGTGGCTGTAAGGATAATAAGATGGTAGAATGTTCAATATACTTACCTATTTTCCCACTTTTATCACTCCTGCTCATCTGGTTTCATTGACACTGTATTTGTCCTTCTATTTTACAAGTAGGCTATAATTATCTATTGATTTCCTTGAGACGTCACATTTATGTAGAAATGTTTCACTATCATCTTTGCCATTTTGGGTTCTTCTGGTCACCTAGCTTTCCTTCACTCCCCCTCCAATCAAATGCTCAGTGGCCTCTAGCCCTTTCTGGTCTCCACCTGGAGCACTCTACTCATGTCCCACCTTCACTTGGGGGCTGCTTCCCTTTCATTCACTTTTTCAGAAGAGAAGAATAGAAATGCAATCTCATAATCGAGAATTAAAACAGGTAAATGTGCCAACCCCAAATCTTAACTGAATTGTCCTTACTGAGTATTAAATTCCTTTTATACAACACAGAAATGGATATATTATATTTATTTATTGCTCCAGGTGTTGGGTATACAGCAGTGAACAAAGCAAAGTCCCCGCTCTCATGGAGTTGGCATCTTTGGGGTAGAGCTGGGGATGGAAGAGCAGGGACTTAAATAAATCTATCATATGCCAGGTGCTGGCCGAGTTACAAGAGGGAATGGAGGAGGTAAGAGGGTTCCATGGTGTGGAATTAGTCAGGAAGGGCTCTCTGGTGCCAGGAGTCTTGCAGGAAATCTGGAAGACAATATCCCAGGGAGAAGGAACAGCTCAAGTGCAAAGGCCCTGCTGCAGCAGAAGGCTAAAATATCCCTGTCTGAGAGAGCTCAAATTTAAATTATGTTCTCTTCTTCTCGGGGCATGCCATTCTTTTCCTTCATAGATTTATCTCCATTTATGTTTTATATATATTTAATACAGATAATTTACTTACTTAGTCTGGATTATAAGGTCTCTAAGGGCAGGCATCATATCCGTTGCTGTTTTCTCTCATTTGTACATTCAGAATTCACCCTCCTGTCTGGTTAAATAGTTATTGAATCAATTGATACCTTTAAAATGGTCACTGATGGCATTGTGTAGCAAAGCACTCACCGAGTTTCTTTTGCCTCCTGTGAGAATTTTCTTTTAGAAATCAGTACATGGGGGTGGGAGGAAATCCCCTTTGACTTGCTCCATTCTTTCCGCTAATGAGCACAAATTGAGTAGAATATATCCATTTCTGTTTGTGTAAAAGGAAAATTCAGTTAAGATTTGGCACATTTACCTGATTTTTCCTGATGATGAGATTGCATCTCTATTCTTTCGCTAATTGGTTTCTCTTTTGTGTAATTCAAATAAGAGTCAGCAAGGAGTGATCTTTAGGTAGGTACATGGTAAGGAAGAAATAAAGAGAAGGGAGAGGAAAAGAAAATATATTCCTCTTCCTTCACCTATATCACTTGTCACCCAGAGTGACACTGCTTTGCAAGTTGAGATTAGGATGTAATGACAGCTGCCTCTGACTAGTGCTCGGCATGTATTCGGACCAATGCTAAGTATTTTACATATATGAACTCATTAAATTCACAACACAATATAGGGTACATATAACTAGCTCTAACTTATAGATAAGTAAATTAAGTCTTAAAGAGGTTAAATAACTTGCCTCCAAATAGAAGAAAGTAGGAATGAGTGCTTTTTAATGGTTCGGTCAGAACTGTCAGAATTAAATCCCAATTGTTCTAATCTTCCCTCTCCCCAAGCTTCCATCTGGCCTCACCCTCCAATAGTGATCACTAACTCACCTTGAGTCCTTAAAGTGGTACTTTACAAACATCCATTATTCCCTTACTACAATTCCTGACTGAAGTACATCCCTGTTTTTTTAAAAAAAGCAAAAGAATGCATGATGCCGATTGTAAACCGACAGGCTGGATGGTGGGAAGCCACTCAGACCTGTGCTAAGAAAGGTGATAATGAATTCAGTGTAGGCAATTCTGAGGAAAATATAAGAAAACACCTAGATGTTCCAGCTGGTCACAGAAGTGAAACAGATCCCTCCTTGCTTTCACCGTGCAGCCGGGTCTTTCTCCATGCTGCTCGCACCAGCGCGGGGCTCAGGAACCCTGAGGCTGGGGAACCGAGCGGGGCAATGCCTGACTGTCTGACTCACCGACTGTGGACCCGGGGGAGAGGGCAGTCCAATGCGCACGCATACATACACTCACACATACCACACACGGTTACAGAGCAGACGGGCACAAGAGCAAACGCGTTCGACACATACACAGAAGTGTGCACCTACAAATACATACTTCACACGCCCACCCCCATCGCACCACAACACAGGCGCACGCGAACTCACACACCTCTCCCGCTCATGCACGCACACCACACACAGGCGCGCAACACGCGAGCTACAAATGCTCACGCACATGTGCACATCTACGCGCACACGCTTACATCCCGTGCACACGCCCTCTTGCGCACGCACACACCACCTTGCACAGGCACGCACCGCGCGCACACGCTCACACCCCGCGCACACGCCCCCTTGCGCACG